TCCTGCTAATCCATGTCCCCAGGTGCCTCATCCACACAGCTCTTGAGCACTGCCAGGGACGCTGACCCCAGCACCTCCCTGGGCAGCCTGTTCCAAGGCTTCACTCCTCTTTCCATGTAAAAAACAGGATTTTTTCCAGGATTCCTGAAAACAGGATTTCAACACACACTTCCCTCTTGCAATTGGTGGTGACATGGGATCACACTGTTCCTGTCTGTTGTGGCAGTAACATGTTGGCTTGTGGCACTTAGCTGTCCTGCATTCAGTGCTTGTGTCTTCTGTGTTGGGGTGTGTGTGTGTAAAGCTGAATGAAAACACCGATATCTCGTTGTCTTTCTCTTCCTGATCTACCAGCACCACCAGATAATCCAGCAGTACATGGTGACCCTGGAGAACCTCCTGTTCACGGCGGAGCTGGACCATCACATACTGGCTGTGTTTCAGCAGTTCTGTGCTCTGCAGGCCTGAGGATTGCGTGTGAGCATTCTCTCATCTGCAGAACTTCAGTGACGATGATTATTGTTATTTTTTTTTTTTTTAACTTGACCTGAGGGAGATTTTTTTTTTTATTATTAAAAATGTGTTCCTATATAAAACAATGCAGTACTCTAACCAACAGCAACTCTGTAAGCATCGTAAGCCTTATTAGTTATGACTGGTAGAGGATTGACATGAAGTAATGTGCGAGTTCTTTTAAGCTGTCCTTTCATTTGGTTTGAATCTTGCATTCCTGTTAGTGTTTTTGTTTTTCCCCCAGTGTTTATATAAAAATAGAATTGGTTACCTCTAATTGGTTACCTTTGTCCCTTAAAGCAAAGGAATTGCAGAAGTGTAAAGAAGCTCACGTGACTTGTGAGTGTGCAGGGAAATGCAGCTTCTCGTGAGCAGTGTGGGAAGCACCGTGACTTGGGCCACGTGAAACATGGAGTAAAGCTTTCAAAGTTGCATAAATCATGGGGATCTGATATTGCCAAAACAACTAGACTTTAACACTTTGAAGGAACGTGTATGTAATGCAATTGAAATGCGTGTTTTAAATGTATTGTCTGATGTGTTATTACAGCAACTAGTAGGGGAACTTCATATGAAGAAAGTATGTGGTTCCCATGTCTCCGACAAGCCCTGTAGCATTGAATTAAGTGGTACCTTGCAGGAGACCTTGACTGGGGTGAGATACAACCTGAAAATGGAGTCACCTTAGTCCATTTTTTTTAATTATTATTTTTTTTAATACTACTCTGTAAGAAACAACCAGAGCAATCTGTATCATGGCAAGTAGGGATGCAAGGCAGAGACGTTGCCTCAGGCACTCGGCTCTGCATATAGTGACATTTGTGTGTGCAGGAGCTGCTGATGATCTTTGTTTTGTAGAGGAGTGTTTGAAAACATTCAGATGCTGAAAATGATGAACTTTTGTTCTGTACAAGTTATTTTCCAAATTCTGTACTTAAGAATACATTTCATCCCTACATTAAGCAATTGACCTTCATAAAGCAGAGGGGAGATTTTTTTTTTCTACTTTCTGTGCTGACATAACCTGTTGTGTGCCCTGTGACAAGCGAGTATATCCTTGTAGACTTGATTCTGTTATTTCTGCTTTTTCTGCTTATCCTCTGGTTTGACAAATCCCTCCACTTTTAGGATCTACCTTTTACATCTTTGTAACTTTGTTTTATGTGCGGTTTTTGTTAGTCATGTGCAGAAGTCTTTCAGATCTGTTAATGTTCTTGAGTAATTACATTTTCCTTTTTTTTCTTTTTTGTAACACTTAATGCTGTACAGAAGTTTTGGTAGATTCTTTAGCCTTTTTTTCCCCCCTAGGTGGGATTGATAGGAACTTCTGGCTCTGGTGGGTGTGAATCAGACGAAGTTGAATGTGTTCTCTGTAAAATCGGTAATGCCCTGGAACTTGCAGAGCTCCGACTTCTTCTGAGCCTTTACTGTACTTTACAAATAGTGGGGCTGGGGATACAAACAAATACCTGAGCACAGACAGTATAATCCTCTTTCTGTCACTTAAAACCAAGCTATATTGTCTTTCAAAAAAATGATGTGGGATGAGGAGCTGGGATTAGAGCCCCTCGGGAGGCAGCCTGGCACCTGGCGTGAGGCGGAAAACTGGTTGGATCTCTAGGACAGAGATGTTCGCAGAATGGTGCGAGCTGTGAAATGGAGGAATGTGGAACTGCCGCAGCACGAGGTGCTGCGTAAAGATGCTGTGGAAATGTGGCTTGGAAAAAAAAAATGCACAATTAAAGACAAATAAATGAAGATGAAGCAGCCCGTGTTTGTCCTCACTGCTGCAAGGCCGG